CCAAAATCTCTGTAAATGTTTATGAAAATAAATAAAATATAATTATAGAGAAAAAAAATTCCAGGAAAAAAAAAGACATGCATTGCAAAGGGAATAAGGAGAGAAGGAAGGAGGAAGGCATGTGATGGAAAAATGAAAACCCAATTTTTCTGTAAACTTTCACTAAAATCACAATTAAAAAATGTAATAACTGAAATTAGAAATTCAAGGAAGAATTCAATAGCAGATTTGAAGTGTCAAAAGGAAGAACTGGAGAATGGAAAAATAAACAATACAAATCATTGAGTCTGAAAAACAAAAAGGGAAGAAAACAATAAAAACTGAGTAAACTGTAGGAAAACCATGTGACACCATCAAGAAAACCAATATCTACATTACGGGTATTCCAGAAGATGCAAAGAGAAAAATACAGAAGAAATATTTAAAGAAATTGTATCAGAAAATGTTTCTCTTTGATGAAAGACCTACAAAACCAAGAAGTGAACAAAACTCTCAAGTACAACAAACCAGTGGTGGTTAATAGAACAGTATAATGAACAAATATAGTTTCTAGAACTATTGTAATAATCTGGGAGCTTTGGTGGCCTATTGGTAAGAAGTTGAACAATGATCCCAAAGGCAAAGGTTTGAATCTATCAGCTGTTCCATGGGAGAAGGATGATCAATCTCCTTCCGTGTGATTATTCACCCCTTGAAAACTCGACAGAGGGTCAGCTCTGAGTCAGTTCCAACTTGATGGCACACAACAACAACGAAGTCATGATGGTAACAAGAGAGGAGCAAGTTATCCCACACAAGGGATCTGCAATAAGAGTAAGTGTAGACTTGGAAACTTAGGATGGCAGAAAGTAGAAGAATGATACAATTAAAGTACTTAAAGGAAAGAGCTGTCAAATAAGAATTCTATACACATCAGAGCATTCTTTCAAGAATGAGAGTGGATATAAAACAATTACATATAAAATTTCAGAGTTCATAAAAGAATACCTGCACTATAATCAAAGCTAAAAGTAGTTCTTCAGATAGGATTGAAAGAGTTTTAGACAATAACTAGAATAGGTATGTAGAAAAGAAAAATCATCAATAAGGATACTTAGTAGACTAATATGTTATTATTATGTGTTGTTGAGTCGCTTGCAACTCATAGTGACACTATGTACAAGAGCCCTAAATCCTGCTCTATCCTGTGCCAACCTCACTATCTCTGACACACCTACTCCCATTATTCCAATCACTGAGTCAATCCATTTCATCAAGGGTCTTCCTCTCCTGCACTGATCCCTCCACTCTCCCAAACATGTGCCTCTCCAAGGACTGGTTCCTTCTTGCAACATGGCCAAAGTATGTCAGAAGAAGCTTCAGAATCCTTGACTCCAAGGAGCAGCCCGGCTTCACCCTCTCCAGGGAAAACATGTTTATTCTCTTAGCAGTCCATGGTATATTCAACAATCTTCTCCAGCACCACAGCTTAAAGGTATCAATTTTCTTTCTATCATCCCTAATCACTGTCTAGCTCTCTGATACACAGCACGCAACTGCAAAGACTAGATACTGGATCAGGTGCACCTTAGTCTCCAGCCTGACATCATTGCTCTTCAGTACTTTGGAGAGGTCCGTGACAGCTGCCTTTCTGAATGCAATTCATCTCTTGATTTCCTGGCTGCTGTTACCAAGAGTGTTGACTGTGGAGCCAAACAAACTAAACCTGTTAACTATCTCAATCTCTTCACCATCCATACTGATGCTGCCAATTGGCCCAGCGGTGAGAATTTTTGTTTTCTTGATGTTGAGCTTCAATCCATATTGGAGGCTGAAGTCCTTGACCTTCTGCAGCAAGCGCTTCAGGTCCTCCTCAGTTTCAGCAAGCAGGGTAGTGTCATCTGCATAACACAGGTTGTCTTACCCGGATTTAAAAATTATCCCAAGAATAAGTTTGAGACATTGAAAACACATAGCTAACATATGGAATGGAAAATAAGGAAATTTTACCCCTACAATAAGGAGCAAGACAAGGGTGTTTGCTCTCACTGCTGCTATTTAATAAGATTGAAAGTTCAGCCAAAGCAATTAGGTAAGAAAAGAAATAAAAGTTACTCGAGCATAAAAGAAAAAAAAACCACCACAAAACACCAACAACCCAACAATCTTGATTCACAAATGAATTTGACAACATTGCAGGATACAAGTCCGACACACACAGACTCACTCTCTCTTTCTTTCTCTATCGTTTGGTTATATACATCAGTAATACAAAAATCTGAAAATGAAATTAAGAGAACAATTCCATCTACAGCAGCATCTAAAAGAATAAAATAGCCCAATCCCAGAGGCATGCAGTTTGAATCCACCAGATGCCCTGCTGGAGAAGGAGGGGCGATCTCCTCCTGTACCAATTGGATCTGATTTGATGGTACACACACAAAAAAATAATTTAAAAAAAAATAAGATGGCCCAGAATAAATGTAATCAGAAGGTACAAGATCTGTATTCTGATAACTAAAATATTGCTTAAGTAATTTTAAAAGACCTAATTAAATAAAAGGGGAAAAAAATCACACTAGGAAAACAAAAACTGACTTGTAGCTGATCCTCCAATGGGTTCTCAGAGGCTGTAAATTGCATAGGAGAATACTCATCTTTCTCCCACAGAAAGTCTAATGGGTTCAAACTGCTTGACTTTGGATTGGCAAATTCTTACCAGCTAGGATTCCAGAGGTCTTTAAATAAATGAAAACCCACCTTATTTTCATGGATTCAAAGGCTTAATTTTAGTAAGATGGCAATACTATGTGAACCTATCTCAGAACCAACACAATCCCTAACATTATTCCAACAATATTTTTCACAGAAATGAAAAAGCTAACCCTCAAACTTATTTGAAACTGCAAGTGGCCTCAAACAGTTAAAATAATCTTGAAAAAGAAAAAAAAATTAGGGACTCACATTTTCTGATTTAAAGGAGTACTATAAAGCTATACTAATTAAAACAGTATGGTATAGCTATAATGAGAGACATGTAGTCCAGTGAGATAGAATGAAATTCCAGAAATAAACATACATATCTATGGCCAATCAACTGTCAACATGGGTGTCAAGTCCATCCAATGAAGAAATATTAATAATAATAATGATGATAATAATAATAATTAATAAAATTATTGAAGAAATCATTTTGCAACAATAAAATCTCGATATTTAAAGGAATTAATATGAACCTGTATCTCACACCATACATGAAAATAAGCTCAAAATAGATTAACAGCTTAAATGAAAGAACTATAAACTTTTAGAACAAAATAAAGGGATATGATCTTGGGACCAAGGTTTCAATGATGGATTTTTAGATAAGACACCAGACACATGAGCAAACAAGGAAGAAGGAGAAGTACATAGATCGATTAGATTTTATTAAAATGAAAAACTTCCGTGTAAGACTAACAGAGGCAAAATATTATCTTGAGCACAACCCACCTAAATTTAGAGACCATCTCAAGAAAAGATTTGATGCCTTTAACGCTAATGATCACCTGGGAAGTGAAGAAAGGGGATACCTACCTTCTGCTTTGTTGTCATCCACCAGTGGACAGGCTGTCCGCAGGGTCACTGTGCTGAGCTCTGAGTGCCGCCCTCGTGTATCCACAGCATACAAAGTAAACCTGAAGCACAAATGAAAACAGAGCACCAAACTGTAACTTCAAAGAAGACACCAGAAGCTAAAAGGAGGAACTAAAAAAGCAAGACAGTAGTAGATGCTGAACAAACACATGGATGCTTAAGCTGAAGGAGAAATAATCAAGAATGAGGGTGTGAGAAGGAATCATTATTTGGCATTTATGAACACTGATTACCTGATGGAAATTTATACTTAATCTCTTAATTAAGTTACCACTAAGCAAGTATAAAAAGAATTAGTATAGTCCTTAATTTCTCAGTGAAGAAATTGGCATTTAGGTTATATATTTTTCCCATGATCTCAAAAGCACTTAGGGACAGAACACAGGTTTAAGGTGAGATATTCTGGCTCCGAAGCCTGAGAAGAAAATCTTGATGGCTGAATATAGGAATTATATATATCCATTCACTCACTGATTAAAAAACAAAACAAAACATCCAAATACCTGGGGGAGGTTTTTAGTGGCTCACTGATTTCAAGAAAATACTTACTGAACACTAATTATGTGCCAGGAACTATATTAGGTACTATGATTTTAAAGATGAAGGAAGGATGGAGGGTTAGAAAAGGAGAGGAAGACCCCAGTGAGATGGACTGACACACTGACTTCAGCAATGGGCTCTAGCATGTCAGAGATGATGAGGATGGCACAGTTAGGGCGGGGTTCAGGTGGGCTATTGATGAGGCCCCTTTGAGCCGTACTCAACGTGACTGCACCGACCAACAACAACAACCCAAACAACTAGTGAAAAAAGAAGTCCCTTTCAATTCCTAAGAGGGCTACAGACCACAGGGTGGGTGGGACACTGGCCCCAGACTCTGCCTCGCAAGCCCCAACTGTCATCTAAAAATTCTTCAGTTGGGGACATTGAAATAAAGAAACTTGTCTTTGTAAAATACAAGTCCTAGATCTCCAAAAGAAATACAAATGGCCCGAAAGGATTAGAAAACAAGATTTTAAAGATGAACAAGAAAGTAAAGAACTCAAATGATCTGAAGCCAATCAAAAAGTAAACAGCAATAAAAAAATAATAGTAAGTATGATAGAAAGTATAACAGGACAAGGTGAAAACAAGTAATCCATGAGCCTAGGAGTCTACTTCATACAAGGTGGTCCACAAAAAGGAAAATTTAAGCTGAGGCCTTAATGATAGGGAAAAATAGGCTTATGGTAGGGAGATCTGAGGTGAAGAGTATTAAAAGCAGAGATATATGGATGCACAAAGAACCTGGTGAAAAGAGGACCCAGACTTTTGGAGACACAGATGACAGGTACAGCTGAAGCAAAGTCAGAATAGAAGGGGGTCAAGAAACTTGTACAGCACGATGGAGAGACTTGGTATTATTCTATGTACAGGGCATGTATCCACTTTTTTGTGTGATACAATTTTTTGAGGATCTAAAAAAAAATTTCTACTAGCTTATTTATAAAATTAAAATACATTATTTTCAAGAACAAATTCTTTCAATTTCCCTCACCCCTCACCCATCAAACTGTGATAAATCCCCCCAATTGCACATCCTCATCCCTCTGCTTCCAACCTCTCCCACCCCTCTTGGATCCTTATACTCATTCTACAATAATGAATTTATGCAATGTTTATCCTTGTGGGACTGAGTTAGTTCACTCAGCATATTGCTCTCCAGTCCCTCCCAGGTTAGGTAATAATTTACAAAAGCATTACTCTTGCATGCTGCATAGTACTCCATTATATGAATGTACCATAATTTCTCAATTCATTAATTTGTGGTTGGTTATTTTGGTTGTTTCAATGTTCTTGCGATGGTGAACAATGCTGCTATGAACACTGATGTACAAATCTCAGTTTGTGCTTCAGTTCTCGTTTTCTCAGGGTATATTCCAATTAGTGGAATAGCTGGATCATATGGTATTTCTATGTTCAGCTTTTTGAGGAACTGTCCAAACTGCCTTCCAGAAGAGTTGTACTATTTTACAATCCCACCACATCCTCTCCAACATTTATTACTTGCTGCTCTGTTAAACTTGGCCACTGTTAGTGGAGTGAGATGGGACTTCACTGTGGTTTTGATTTGCATCTCTTTTATTGCCAGTGATTTGGAGCATTGAAATTCATTGTCATACAGGCAGAAAGAGATGTAGTGTGTATGGTATTGTTTTTGTTAGGGGCCAATGAACATGACTCAGAGGAACCCTACGAACAACAGATCAGAATCCCGTCCTATCCTGTGCCATCCTCATCATCTCTGACATACTTGAGTCCGTTGCAGCAATCACGGGATCAATTTCTCTTATTGAGGGTCTTTCTGTCTTTCATCAGCATGATGTCCCTCTCCAAGGAATATCCTCTCCTAACAACAAGCCAGAAGTATGAGAGATGAAGATTCATTTTCTTGATCTCCATTCTGGCTGCACTTTCCCCAAGACTTGTCTGCATGTTCTCTTGGTGATCCATGGGACATTTAGAACTTTTCTGCAACACTGTTCAAAGGCATCAATTCTCTGTCCTCCTTATTTGTGACCAGCTCTCAGATGCACAACAAGTGATTAAAAAGACCATAGCCTGCATGAGGCACACTTTAGTCTTCAAATTGATATCACTATTCCTCAGTAATTTGGAGAGGTCCCTGACAGCTGGCTTTCCCAATGAAATACACCTCCTGATCTGCCAACTCCTAGTACCAAGGGATTGTGGATCCAAGTAAGAAAAGAAAAGAAAAAATTGACAAATTAAATCTTTTCTCCATCTATCATGATGTTGCCTATTAATCCAGGAGTGATAACTTTGGTTTCCTTGATGTTGAGATGCAATCTATATTGAAGGTTGTAGTCTTTGACCTTCTGCAACAAGTCCTCCTCACTTTCAGCAAACCAGGCTGTTTCATCTGCGTGACACAGGTTGTTGATGAGTCTTTCTCTGATCCTGATGGTACATGCTTTATATAGTACAACTTCTCGAATGACTTGCTCTGCATTCAGTTTGAACAGGTATGTAAAAAGGATCCAACCCTGACACATACGTTTCTTAAGTTTAAACCATACAGTGTTCCTTTGCTGTTTGGACAACAACTTCTGGGTTTAGGTATAGATTTCCTAAGAGTTTAATTAACTTTTCTGGGATTCTCATTGTTAAAACAAGACCTGGTGGAGACAAGTCAGGCTATAAAATACGTTGTAGGGCAGCTTCTACACTCTAGCCTGACTCAGGGTACTCTGACTCTTCTTCTCCACAGATCTTCAGGGTCTGTGGTTTTAAACAATGTCTCAGACATTGGCAAGGATCACTGGTGATATAGTAGTAAAGGGTTCAGCTGCTAAATACAAGGAGTAGAGTTTGACCCCACTACTCTCTCCAAGGGAAAAATACATGGTGGTTGGCATTAGCTGCCATCAAGTAAGTGCTGAGCTGTATAAACCCTGCAAACAAAAGAGCAAAACATTGCCTGCTCTTGTGCCATCTTCACACAGTTTCTTAGGTTTGATCCCATTGTTGGAGCCACTGTGTCATCCTATCTCACTGACAGTCTTCCTCTTTTTTGTTTGCTCTTTATCAAGTATGATGGCCTTTTCCATGGCTTGTCCCCTCCTGATAACATGTTCAAAATATGTAGGATGAAGTCTCATCATCCTTGCTTCCATGGCACATTTTATCCAAAATTCTCCCAAGACAGGTTGGTTTGCTCATTTGGCTATCCAGTATTCTTGTCAACTCCATAATTCAAAGGCATCAATTCTTAACTTTATTTTATTTCATCATTAACTAGCATTTGCATGCATATGAGGCAGCTGAAATGAATGTGGCTTAGGCCCCTTAATTCTCAAAGTGTAATTGTCACACTTGCTTTACACTTTTGTTGCAGATGTGCTCAATGCAAGACATCATTTGACTTATAGACTACTCTTGCAAGGAATTGTATTGTAAATCCAAATAAAATGTGGCAGTATCCTTCAATAAAGATTATAGGTCATAATGTACACTGCATTGAACAGATTAGGGAGAGAACTGATTGAAAGGGATATATTATTAGATGTTATTTTAATGACAAGAGTCCAGAGTAAGACTTGCATAGTAAAGTGGACTTGGCACTGGGGGCGGGGGAGATTGTATAACAATGAAAATTTTTTTTTTCTTCAAAAAGAAAAGCAAACTGGGGCGGAGGGGTGGAAAGGGGGGAAAATGTGTAACAATGAATGAATGGAAATCCAAAGTCTCTATAAACTTCCATTAAAATCTCAATTAAAAAAAATAACTTTTAAAAAGTAGTGCTTTGAAGAAGCTCTACCTTGTTGTCCTATTCTGTCACTATGAATCAGAGTTGACTTGCTGGCAACTGGGTTAAGGTGTTGGAAGAAAGGAATTTAAAGAAATTCTTTTCAACTTGTTGGCAGTGGGTTCAAGTGTAGGAAGAAAAGATTATCAAGAAGACTTAACTTTTGTAAGACAGAAATGGTTTCACTGGAAGAAGAGGTTGTCTGAGTGTCTTTGCTTGGTCACCTGCGCTTAAGTAGAAGATCCTGGGGTCCCAAGGGACTATCTTCTTTCAAAATGTATTCACCATGTTAAAAATTGGTATGTTGTTGCTGTGTACTGTAGAATCGGGACTGAAGCCTAGCTGACCCTCTGGTGGGTTGTCAGAGGCAGTTAACCGCACAGGAGGAGACTGCCCATCCTTCTCCCTAGAGCAGCCAGTGGCCTCTAACCATGTGACTTCAGGATTGCAGTGCAGCTTCTTGCCACTAGGCCACAGCTTGTTTTCGTGTTATAAACTACTATGACTGTCAAACTGCATTAAGGTGAGATTTTATTTATTTGAGCCAATAATATGCATTGCAGACTGCAACCAGTGTCACAGGACAAAGTATGTATATAAAATTGAATGGAATATTAATTTGCTTTGTAAACTTTCATCTGAATTAAAGCAAAATGCTGTTGTTGGGTGGCTTCGAGTAGTCTACAACTCATAGTGACCCTATGAAGAGCAGATCTGAACCTTGTCCTACCT